GACTCTCTCAATAAGCAGGGATTTGTGGATGGAAATGATCCACTGACAATTCACTCAGAACTCTCCTTAGGGTTTCAGCCCATACAGTCTGAGTCTGGTATTCTGTTCATGTAACATCACTGAACAGAATGAATAAACTTCACCTAATCCCTGATTTACAGTTGGTCAACTTCCAGTTTTTCAAATTAACAATGGATTAAAAGCAACACACATTCAATAGAAACTGTACTTTAAATTTTGAATTTTGGTCCCTTTCTGGGCTAGTAATATGCAGTATGAGACTGTCCCAAGATGCTAGCCAGAGGGGCAGCTACCAGCCAGCCACATATCATAAAGGCAAGCAACAGACACTCTACACACAAAGCACTGTGTTGACAGTGCCATTTGGATACATGTATTCAATACATTATGTGAGATGCTCAAAATTTTATTAGTAGGCTTTGTGAACTGACTGTGGTAATCCCAGCACATGGGAGACAGAAGTAGGAAGAGCAGAAGTTCTGGATCATCCTTGGCTACTTAGTGACTTCTTAGACTCTTGTACTCCCTAAAGCGGGGTGGGGTGGTGGAAGGGTAGCTCAACCTGTAAAGTACTTACTGAGCAAGCATGAGGACCTGAGTTCAGTCACCAAGCCTACATAAAAAGCCAGGTGGTCTGAGGGGCTCGCTGGTCAGCCAGCTAAGCCTGCTCAGTGAGTTCCAGACCACTGAGAAACCTCATCTATTTTAGAAAAGAAAAAGGTGGACAATTCCCAAGGAACAACACCCAAGGTTGTCCTCTGGCCTCATGCACACACAGATGCACATGCAACTACCACACATGTACCTGAAAATACATGAGCGTGCACACACACACACACACACACACACACACACACACACACACACAGTTTCAGTTAGGTGTTTTTACCCAAACATAAGCCAGGCTAAGCTATAAAGTTTGGTAGATTAGGTATTTAAATACTTTTTCTACTTAAAATATTTTCAACTTACCATGAGTTTATCAGAACACAATTCCATCACAAAATGAGGAAGGTCTGTATGACTTTATTAGATTCATTTTATCCCTCATCTACTCAGTTCTCTTCAAGACATATTCACTGCCCAGCATGTTTAATCCTATCTCTGCCCACTCACCAACTAGCTCACAGACACACGTGCCTAGCAACCTCATACTCCATGGCTTCATCAGCTATTGATATTGCGCTGGATAGCTTTAGTGTCAACTTGACACACCTGGGTTGAGGGAGCCTCAAATGGGAAATTGCCTTCATTGGACTGGCCTGTGGCCATGTCCATGGGGCATCTTCTTGATTATTGAGTGACGTGGGAGGGCCCGGCCTCCTGTGGGTGGTGCCACCCCTGGCAGGTGGGCCTGTGTTGCATAAGAAAGTGGGCTGAGCAGGGGCCAGGGGAGCAAGCCAGTAAGCAGTGTTCCTCCATGGCCTGTGCCTCCAGGTTCCTGCTCTGAGTTCCTGCCTTGGGCTCCCTGATGAACTGTGACCTGGGAGATGTAAGATAAATAAACCCCTTCCCTCCCCAAGTTGGTAGTGGTCAGAATGTTTTGTCACAGCAATGAAGAAACAAACTAGGACAGATACTATTGATTCAGTAAGGTGTTTCCTGTATGCCCTGGCAAAGCCCACACCGTTACAGACAAAATCTATCCCCTTTTCCTCCTCCATCTCCATTTCTCAGATGTAGTCCTAGCTGCCCAATGATTCTTTATCATTTTTAAAGACTGTATCTCATACTTGGGACTAGAGAGATGGCTCAGTGGTTAAAACAGAGGACCTAAGTTTGAATCCTAGCACCCACATGGCGGCTAACAACCAACTCCAGTTCCAAGGGAATCCGATGCCCTCTTCTGACCTCCACAGGCACTGCATGACACAGGTACACTTACATACATGGAGGAAATACACTCATACACCTAAAATAAAAATAAATATTTTTTAAAGACTGTCATATATTTCTTGAAATCTCATGATACCCAAGAGAAGAGTAAATACACTGTACGAATTCATTAAATTAATGTTAAATAATTATTGTTAAGCAAAAAAAAAAAAAAAAAAAAAAAAAAAGGTATGGTGGTGTGCACCTTTAATCCCAGCACTCAGGAGGCAGGTAGATCTCTGTGAGACTGAGGCCAGCCTAGTCTACATAGCTCATTTCAAGCTAGCCAGGGCTACAGGGAGACCCTGTTTCAAAAAACAAAAACCCCCTAAGATTATTCTGTTTCCACCTCTGCTCTGAGGATCTATCTGTAATGAGGATTTAGAAATAAAATCTTGAGTGCCTCTTGAACATTTTTTAAATGCTTTAATAACTTCAGTATAAAGATTCTTTCAGGATGTATGTATATCCAGTACAGGTTGTTGTTTTTTTTTCATGGTGACGTGAGAGAAATTATCTTGGCTGAAAGTCTTGAAATATTTACATACAGATATTTATTTTCCTTGAGGACTTTCAAAGTATCAATCAGGTTGTCTTGAAGTTCAGGGTTACAGAACAGGGTCTCATCGGAAACAATGCATCTGCGTGATGACAGGGCAGGCTCCTGTGAAACACATCTGCCTTCCAGTGGTGGGAACAGCTTGTCTGGTTAAGGGATTTTCCTTCCATGTGCACTTTCTGCCTGGGAACGAAACTGGCGTCGATTTCATCACTCACTACTGACAGCATTTACACCTGAGTACAGAGCCATCTATGTATGAATCTTTGCTTCCTCTCCAAATATGTTTTCCTTATGGAAGAAACTGAAGTCTTCGGTTTTACAGGCTACCTACACGCTTACACTCTCTTCCAAGCTGGGTCACTACTAAGCCTACTTAAAAGCAGCAAACGTGGAAACGCCCGATGAGGCTGGAGTGGTCATGTGATCTTTCCTGAAGAAAGTGTTTTCTTCGTGTTAATGGAATAAAATTAAATTGAAATGAATTCTAAGTCAATACTCAAGCCCTCATTATAATTATGTGTAAAGCGGCACAGAAGTTTAGAATTGGAAGGAGTAAAATCCTGACCAACAAATATAAAAATGAAATGTGCTACAAACATTTCAAACCACTGCAAAAACATAATATTTAGAAAAATTTGCCATGATGTAAAATCCACAAGTAGCCAAAAAATATCTATTTTCAAAAGCAATGCTCAAGAAGTAAAAAAATAAAGATACTGAATAATTTTTTCAGGGGCACTCACCAATCACAAGTGAAGACTCACAGTGATAATAACCATCACTTCGTTTTTTCTTCAGCATGGAGCAAAGATCTATGCGGTATAATATTTCTTCTCCAAATCTGTGGTTGATAAACTGTTCATACAATTCAGGCTCTATTTTTTTCACTCCCTTAAAATGACAAAACAAAATCACATCAATCAATCATTTCACCCAGGCAGTCGTTCATATTTATATTGCGCTCTTAGAACCTGCTATTACATTTTGGGATTCACGACTGCCTCCTGGCACTTGAAAACAGATGCCACAGGATTGTTATCAAGCTGTTCTTTAAAGTCTCCCTGCCTAAGATGGGCTGTGGTTTAAGTGCTGATTTAAATGTGGCAGCATTTGGAACCTCGTTTATTCAGAACTAATAAAGCATGTGATGTTGAATTTCGATATATCAAGGATAGAGTAATTATTTAGCACAACAATGGATAAATGGGTGAATGCTTTTTAAAGTGATGTAGATCTTAACATTTTACAACCTGTAAAAAGACTTAATAAGACAAACACATTTTAAACACCTTATATAAAAATAACCTGAAAAACAAAGTTGTCTTGAATTGGAAGGCAAGAGGCTCCACATCCTCTCCACCGTCTCTCATTTCCAATGACCTTTTTTAGCAGGAACAGCTGAATGCTGAAGACCTATAGTGAGATGCTCTTGGACTTCAGAGGCTTCTCAAATCACAGGAAATAATATCTCCACCTCCCCTACTCTAAACAATGCCTTGAGAGTTCAGCCTCAGTGTCCCAAGACATAGTCTACGAGATGAAGGTAATCACAGGACATGCTTTTGCTTTTCAGTGATAAAAATATGTAGGAACTTTAAATAAGAATACAAAATGATGTGATTTTTCTTATTTCATTTTTCTTATGCAAATAAAAATGTTCTTTTTTTCTTTTCTATATTCCTAGGAATATGGTTTTGACCTTGGTACTATTTAATAACCAGCTCCATTCTTTCAATAAGTAGGTCATGTCAATAAATAATGTACAGATGTGCAAAATGTTTTTATCTCTGTGGTGCTTCACTGTATGAACTATCATAAGTTATTCATCCAACTCTAGACCACTGGATATTTAGGTTGTTTTTAATTTTCAATGTCATAGTAAAATATGCTTCTGTTCTATGTTCACACTGGCCTCCTGATCTTAACTGTTCCTCTCAGTCTTTCTCACCTCAGTTACAGAATTCTATCCCACCTGCACACGCTGAAAGCTTTGGGATCATCCTTGATTTCCCTCCTCTCTCAACCCCACACCCAAACAGCCTTGGGTCAATCCTCAAAATATATGTGGTTCTCACCAGTCTGTTGCCACCTTTGGGCAACCTCCATTTCTGTCTTTCACCTGCTTTATCACAATGACCTTCTGACCATTGTCCTATCACTACCTCTTTCAACAGCCAAAGTAATCATATAAAACCATGAATGTTCACTCCTCTACTAAAAACTTACCAAAGGGTCCTCACATCATTCAAATAATGAGCCCAAGTCCACATAACAGCCTACAAGGTGCTGCCGGATCCCTCCTGCACTTCTGGACCAGATTTCTGAAACCCTCTTCGCTTCTACCTCCCTGACCTCCTCAAACACCCTAGGCACAAGTGCATATCTGCATCTCTGTGCTGCTGGCAACCTGTTGCATCATGCCTGTAGGATGATCCTTCCTGAACAATCCTCACTGGTCAGATATGTCTCCTTTTCTTCTCTGCTCAAGTACCACTTTCTTAATAGACCTTGTTAACCCCATATATTTTGCACTCCTCCTCAAGACATACTCCCATATCTCATCTTCTCTTCTCTCTTTACCATCTTCTAACACCCCATGTAACTTACTTTTTAGTAAACTTCTTCTTTGTTAGAAAATAATAGAATACATGTAAAGTAGAAAGAGGGAGTATTTGTGGGGAGGAAGCCATTGTGGAGGGAGGGGAATAGTAAGAAAAAAGTCTAATGATATATGTGTATGAAAATGCCATAATAGGAACTGCAGAGATAGCTCAGCAGTTAAGAGCACTTGCTGTTCTTGCAGAGGACCCAGGTTCAGTTCCCAGCACCCACAAAGTGGCTAACAACCATTTGTAATTCCAGTCCCAGGGGATCCAATGCCCTTTCTGGTCTCTGGGGCAATATACACACATCATGGTGCACTTAGACACATACAGGCAAAATACTCATACACATAAAAAATGCAAATAAATTTAGACCAGGTATGGTGGAGCACACCTTTAACCCCAGCACTTAGGAGGCAGAAGCAAGTGATTCTCTGTGATTTTGAGGCCAGCGTGGTCTACATATTGAGTTCCAGGTCAGCCAGGGCTACATAGTGAGACTCTGTCTTGGGAGGGAAGGGGAGGGGAGGGGAGGGGGAAAGGGGAAGGGAAGGAGAGGGGAGGGGAGGTGGCTAACAACAGTCCATAACTCCAGTTCCAGCTGACCTCCATGGGCATTTCACAACACAGGTGCACTTACACACATACAGGCAATATACTCATACACATAAAAAAATAAATAAATAAAATTAAAAGTTCAGGAGCTGGAAAGATGGCTCAGTGATTAGGCATGCTAGCTGCTCTTTAGAGGACCTGGGCTCAGTTCTCAGCACCCACATGGCAGCTAACAATCATCCATAACTCCAGTTCCAGGGGACCCAATGCCCTCTTCTGGCTCCATGGGCACTGCACACATTGGTGCATTTACATACATGCACGCAAAAAACTCATACAGAACAAAATATAAAAAGGACCCCAAAAGCAGGATAGGTGAGGACTGAAGTTATTATCTCCTGTTTAAAATAACATCTTTATGTATGAAATTCTCAATAAATTACTTATTTAAAACAATAACATCTTTAATAATAAAGAATATATAGAAATAGATAAGAATCTGTTTGATCTCATATATATTAGAACACTGGGATAATCTTTTCTAGAGAATTTTATTAGGCAATCTATTACTTTCCAATAAATGCTATCTTAATTCATCTCACCATCCAGCTCTAGTAAGTGATATTTATCTTTCATAATGAAAGGACCAGTGTGTGCTAGATAGCAAGACCCTGTCTCAAAAACAAAATTTAATAGTAAACAAATGAAGAAAAGTCATTCTTCTAAGGGAATAAGTGAACATATCAAAATCAGGTATCACTTAGGGTAAGGCCATAAAAAGGTCCTATGTTCTTAAGCAATCTATAGGATTGCTCTCAGAGGCACCAGCCCTCAAGGTTATATTTTCAAGTTGAAATAATTGGGTGGTGGCATTATATTCAAGTTCAAGATCTTCAACTTACTCTCAACTTCAGTTCTCAGCACCCACATGGCAGCTAACAATCATCCATAACTCCAGTTCCAGGGGACCCAATGCCCTCTTCTGGCTCCATGAACACTGCATGCACTGGTGCACTTACATACATGCATGCAAAAAACTCATACAGAACAAAATATAAATAAATAAATAATTTTAAGGCATGAGGCCTTAAAAAGGCCCCCGAAAGAAGCTATACCCTTTCCAAGGTACCCTACTGTTTAAAGACAGGAGATGGTAATAACATGTTAAGAGAGCTTAAAGAAAACGCAAGTTGTTAAAGCCAAGAAAACAGGATCTATAAAATCTGAGAATTGGGATTATTTCAAATGTAGAGAAACTATACAAAAGAGTCTCTCAGACACCATGCAAAGAATACTGCACACTTTGTATTTTGAGTGTGCTGGATGACAGTCTAATACTTGATAGTCTAATATTTCATTTAAAGGCTATTTTCCCCTGGAAATTAACAGAGATAGTGTATATTTTAAGGATTTCAAGTAAATAATTGTATTCAATATAAATGACATACTGTACTATAACACTGAAAGAAAAAATGGAAATTTTTTTAAATTTTTTAAATTTTATGTGTATAAGTGTTATGACTGCATGTATGTAAGTGCACCCATGTTATGCAGTGCCCACAGAGGCCAGAAGAAGGCATCAGATCCCCTGGAACTGTAGTTATGGATGGTTGTTAGCCACCATGTGGGTGCTGAGATCTGAACTTGGGTCTTTTGCAACCAGTGCTCTTAACCACTGAGCCACCTCTCCATCTCCAAAATTGGAATTTAAATATAAGATATTAGACTTTGAGCCCCGTACAGTAGCATACGGCTTTAATTCCAGTGCTTGAGAGGCAGAGGCAGGTAGATCTTTGTGAGATCAAGGCCAGCCTGATCTATGAGGCAAATTCCAGGCTAGCTGGGAGGCCACAGTGAGACTCTTTCAAAAAATTGCCTTTAATTCCAGCTCTTGAGAGGTAGGGGCAGGTAGATCTCTGTGAGATCAAAGCCAGCCTTGTCTATGAAGCAAATTACAGGCCAGTTGGGGCTACAGTGAGACTCTGTTTTGAAAATTGGCAGTTAAACACAGGATGTTAAACTTTAAAATAATTAATTAGTGGAAATAAATATCAACATTTTCAAAAAAAGAGACTGCCTTAATTATTAGAAATGACTCAAGGTTTGCTTCCCTTTAGCCTACTTTCAGGAACAGTGAGGCATTTCATTTTTGATTATTACTTAGCACCCAAACAGCTTGCTCTTCAAAAAAATGTCATGGAGCCTGGAGAGTATATTTAGAGTCATCTGGTGGCTGAATCTGATAAAGAATGGAAATTATTAACTTGGGAAGCACTCACAGCATCATTTACATCAGCTAAATGATATGCATAATTTAATGTGCCAAAGGGTGTTCAGACTTATATTACTATGCATTCAGCTCTACTTTTACTGCAGATAGACCATGAAATATAAAAATTTATATTAGCTTACAACCTGTGACAGTTATTGTGTTCAGAAAAATGAAACACTAATTTTATTATGAAGGTTGAGAATTGTTTATAACATAACTTCTCACTGTTACTTGTTATAATGATCATAACTTCCATAAAGAGTCTGCAAACCTAACAAAGAAAGTATTTGTCCTACTGACAATAAGCTTAACCTTCAGGATCACTGCTATATTTTCCAATACATGTTTCCTGTAATAAGGACTTAAAATCAAAGTTTAAAATGTAAATTGAAGCCGGGTGTGGTGGCACACACCTTTAATCCCAGCACTAGGGAGGCAGAGGCAAGTGGATCTCTGTCAGT